AAATTGCTGCTAAATATGTGTGTACTGGTCATACCAGACAGTTCAAAACTTTTTTTAAAGCCTGAATCTCTGGAACTGGACAAAGTAATGAACAATTTTTATGACACTGATGTTAAAACCTTAGCTTGTTTTGTGTGGTGGATAACGCTTTCAATTTAGGCTCCCCCTTATGCACTCAGTTTGGATTTAATACCTTCTGAGCCAAATTCTGCCCTCACTCAAGAGCTTCATCATCCCAAATGCTGACAACAGGGGCTGCGGAGGGGAAGGGAGATCAAGGCATCATCATTTGTGCTCAGCGAGCGTGGTTAATTCCTCATCAACACAGTGGGGATTAACCCTAATTAATAGAGGTTCATTTTCCTTTTGAATTACTGTTTCAGATGATCTGATGGTATTTATTTAACCCTTATCATAGCAGGAAAGAGCCTTTCATCTGATGTTACTGTTGAGCAGCTGAATTCTCCTTTGCTTTCCTAAATCTCTGCAAGAGGTTTGTCACCCAACAGCTTTGACTCCCTGTTTTTTTTCCTGCACCTATTTTCCTTTTTTCACACCCTCCATGGAAATATTTTTGCTTAGAGCAAAGGAACATCCTATCTTCTTCCTTGGGTGCCTCCCCTGGATGCACTGATGTTTTCTGTCAAATGGTGTCAATATAATGTACAGATAACAGAGATGGCCTGTCAGTGATTCTCTCTCCTCCCTCTGACACAGCTAAAGAGTCACAAAGTGCTGTGTTTTAGAGAGGGCCAATCTACCTGCTGCAACCACAGAACCCTTTTACAGAAGGTCTATCCAGATTCACATAAGGTATGTTCCTGGGCAGGCAAAAACTGTGGACTGGGAAACTGTCCTTTGTCCAAGATCATCCCTGGAATGAGATGATCTTTGGGTCCCTTCCAGCTCAAAGCATTCTGTGATTCTGTGATCCACCAGGCATCTGAACCCTTGGGCACGCAGAAAGCAAGCCTTGATCAGCAGCCCTTGATTGTGCAACTCTCAGCTCAAAAATGAAAGGTGTGTGAAGGTGGATGTGAGGATGGCCCAGGGCTGCCCCATCCTCTCTTTGCTCCTTGGATGTTGTGCACACAGACACTTCTTGGCCATGATCTCACCCAGTTGTGTGGGTAAGAGCTCCAAAATAGGACCCTGTGATCCAAATGTCCGGAAACATGAGGCCATGACATCAAAAGGCCAGTTCCGTAGTGAAAGGATGGCTTTCAGGTGCCGCTGCCTGCAAAGGTCACCACGAAAACAAAGCAGAAATCTATATTTGGGCACATTCCTGCAAAGCACTACCGTTTGCTGTTCCTCAGAGGTGTCGAGACAATTAGAGATTACAACAAAAATTAAGAAAACCCCCTCCAAAAAACAAACAAACAAAAAAACCCTAACCCAACCTAAACAAACAAAACCGATCAAAAAAACCCCCAAAACAACAACAAAAACAAAACCAACAAAACAACCAACCAACCAACAAAACCCCCCCCCCAAAAAAAAAACCCACAAAAAATAAAGAAAATTATCCAGCTCATGAACGTAATAAATTTCAGGAGAAAAGACTTCTCTTTTTTTTTGCCATAGAGGTTAGTTGCATGATTAAACCAGGAATGTCATTGCTGAGCTCTGCAATAACCTGCACAGAGCTGCATGGACCCACGGTGGTAGCGGATGGCCAACTTTCCCCGGGAAAGTTTTTTGTTATCCTTGTATTGCTTAGGTTTTTTTAACACCACATCTGCGCTTGCTTCGTCATTCTGCCATCTGCTGTAACAAAATACAGACAAAGCATTTCAGGGGAACAACCTCTCCACACTTTAAAATGCTCCAACCCAGAGAACAGCCTTTTTTATTTCTCACAAGCTGCAGTGCTTATTATCCTATCCCTCCTCCTCCTCCTCCTCTTCCTCCTCCCCCTGCCCCACATGCACGATGAATTACACACGCTCACCAAGCGTGGAGAACACAGAATCCCACTGATTTTTTTTTTGCCACAACGTTTCTGTTAAACGAAATGAATGCTCCCGAGCTCTTACTTCGCTGAGAGGTCAGAAACCAGCAGGTCATTATCATTAATTTTTTTTTTTGTTGTTTTTTTTTTTTAATTTGGAAACTCCCAGTCAGGCTCGTTTCCTGTTTGGTATTGTCTGCAGATACACAACGTGCAGCGGAGAGAAGGACTCGGGTTGCTAAAGGATGGAAATAACAGAGTATGAGGAGAGTGGGTTTTTGAGCACACACTCTGCAAAAGTCCAGTCAAAGTTTCTTCCTGGTGCAGCCGCACAAGTCTCTTGGTAGCAGTAAACTCGCTGCACAGACTTCATTCCTGAACACATGTTCAAAGGTGATAAAATAAATGCAGATGGTTTCCCAAAACCTCAGCGGAGCATTTTTTGTGCTGTTACTAAATGGACTGTAAAAAAACCTAGGGAGGGGGAAAAAAAAAAAAAAACAACGGAGAAAATAATGTTTGACACAGACAGGCAATTTCAGAACAGCATTTGGTCATCTGGGAGAAAATCTAAATAAAATGTGTGTTTATAATGATCCACTGGCAAAACAATATTGACAGAGCATCTGAGCTGCCTAATGGAAGTGATTTTTAGAATGCTTAAATTAAACCAGCCTTGCAAGCTGAATATTTTGCTTATTTGCTTAACACATAAAAAAAAAAAAAAAAAAAAATGAGTTGGATAGAATTTTGAATTCCCTGTGCCATGACCAAAGTTGACAATAAAACCATCCCCGGCTACAGTGGAAGCAGAATCAGACCTTAACAAATTTATTACAGGCTTTGTTTACAAACTTCTTACAAAATTATACAGCATCTTATGGGCACACAGGATTTACAGGAACATGTTACTGATGTGTGGGATTGCTCCGCTCTCCGGTCGGGATCTGCAGGTTTTTTCTTCGCCTGAGGCCTGATCCAGCTTCCACTGGAGAAGATGAGATTTTTTTTGTTGTTGTTGTTATTATTATTATTTTTTTTTTTTTTTCCATGGGCTTTAGTGGAAGCTGGATCAGATCCAGAGGGTAACACTTCCGTTCATTGTTTTCCTGGGGTGGGAAAGAGGTAGCCAATCTAACCACCTCACACACCACGCTTCTTTCTCATTTCATGTGTTTCAGATGACAGGAGCATTTACTCTGAGGCATTTTTGCTGGCTGCTTGTGTTGGAGTTAAGAGCCGAAGACCAGTTCCTGTTACTGGATCTACAGTGGAAAACGAGAATTGGATTTCTTTGAACCTTTAAAGAGCGAAACTCCCTTGATTTTCAGTGAGGAGAAATAAAGGCATTAGGATCAACTCTGATGTTGTTTACGTTGCTATAAAGCTACATTTTCTCCCCTGTCTTCAGAAGAATTTCTCTGGATTTGCAGTGATATAATTAAAAGTGGCATCCTCACTGCAGGAACAAGGTAGTTTCTGATTGATGGGATTTAGTTAAGTTAGTCTTCTTACCTCCTCTTCTCACATGGAGACAGACCTATCTGGCGTGGTGAAACAAGACTTCTAAACTTGATAATATCAGCTCTCATTTACTCCAAGCATCTGCAAATGATCTTTACTTGGGAATTCAGGGTGTAAAATTTACCTTTTAACTTGCAAAAAAAATCCAGCGGGGCAGGACTCTGAAAAACACGCTTTTACCCCCAAGCCAAAAAAATTTTAGTTGAAATTTAAGCTTTCCTACTAGTAAAACTAGCAAAAGCTCTGTGGGGGATTTGTTTTTTTTTTTTTTAATGTCTGCCAGGGAAGGAGAAAACTGGAAATATTCTAGTCAGATCTATCAGATAGCGAGTTCCTTGTTATATCACATCCCCTCTTTCATTTTAACGACTGCCTCGGTATGGAACCTCTGAAGTTCTTCCTGCCTGAAGCAAAGGAAGGGTTTAGTACTGCCAGGTGACGATATTTCCTGGGAGGTAAATTCCCTGCTTTCATGCTGAGAATTGGGATGGCTCTCAGAAACACCACCTACACACTCCAGCCTGGCTTCCAGGGACACGGTTATTCCAGTGCTCGGCCTCCTGGGCAACCTGTCCGGCTCTCTGGTGCTTTTATGGTGTGCAGCTCTGTAAGGGATTAAGGGAGACCACACAATTCGCTGCCTGTCACAGCCTGCTGCAGCTTGGAGGTTGGTTCTCCAGGAGTGAAAGCTGTACGAACAAAAGAGCCCTGCAGCCTCGGGTTTGAGTGCCCCGATCTCGTTTTCACTTGTGATGCTGAACACGCGGTGAAAGCCGGAGTGTAAAACCCTCAGCTGGAAAGCTGTTTGAGTGGCTGGTGTTTTCCAGCCCTTCCTGGGTGACAGATCTATCTGGACACAGATAACACGCAGGCCAATCTTAATTCTGTTGATAATCATGGGCTCTCATTTGTTTTATGGGAGTGGGATCCCATCCAGGGCATTACACAGCTAACCTGTAACAGACCATCTCTTCAAGCAGTGCCATTATTCCTGTCCCCAGTGGAGCTACAGGACAACCCAAAGAAGAGTTTGAGGTATTTATTTGCAAGTACGTTTGTCTGTCCTAAGCAACAAATCTGTTTCATTGAGAAACTTCATTATTACTACAGACTCCATGGATTTGAGCCACCATCCATTTCACATTCCTATGGAAGGTACCGGGTTTGTCCAGCAGTTCTAAACATTTTTCTCCCTGTGAAAAATGGAGAATGGATTGCTGAGGAGAAGGGCTTCATATGGGTGTGTGGCTTTGATATCCACGCCAGGATATCCCATCTTTCTTTTCTACAATTTGCAAGCCAAGGGCTCTTCTAAGGTTGAGACGCCACCAGCTTTGTTTCTGATTTAAAAACTCAGACAGAGAGAAATGATCCAGCAAGGCAAGCAGAAGATAATTGATTGGTGTGAGGAGGAGGAGGAGGAGGCTGATAACAATAAACCATCTTTCATGTATTATATTAATGATCCTTTTAGATTGGTTCTTGGCTTCAGTAAGTTTCAGCTACAAGTATTTTTTTTTTCCATATTTTTTCAATGATGCACTGGCAGCATTAGGAACAGTTGCAAAACAAATGTGCTTCAGGAACATAAATGGAAGTTGCTGGATTACTAGTAGCCATCCTGAAATGCTAAGAGAGGAAAAATGGTAATTTCACTGGCAAAACTGGCATAATACACAGAAACTTTATTTTAGGGCTACCTGATGTCTGCAAATTTGACATCATCTGCAGGCTACAACACGTATTTTGGTCCATTTTTGCTTTGGCGGTGAGGAGTCAACACTGCATCCAATTAAATGTGAATGTATAGAGCAGGGAATATAAATATGTACACAACTCTTGGCACTGATCTGATTTTTAACAAGTTTACTAAATGACAGTCACTGGTTTGACAATACTGAATGAAAAATACTGATTTTACACAGATTTTACAGGAAGGTTACGGTATGCTGCCGACAAGCAGTGTCACAAACATAGTCTAAGAAAAACCTGGAGCTGCCCACAGCGGAGGCACACACCCTTTGCTCTTGTTTATTGAGAGAGAAAGCTTATATACTGTAGATTTGCTGAAGTTTAATAAATAAGGTCAACTTATAATATATATAAAACAATATAAACATTTATATGCTACATGCATATCATATAATTTAAAGTAATAATTTATATAGCGAAGAGATGCAGATTCATGTTCTTCCTATTTTCCTCGACAACGCGCACACGCAGGAGGTGTCTATCCTTATCCATCTCCAGCCTACCAGTTTGTTGTTTTCTGAGGTCAGTGCTCTGACATAAGTTTGGGATGTCTTGCATTGGGAGTTCCAGTGCTTGTCGTCGATTCCCCGGCAGCCGTTTTTCACCGGCTTGGCTTCCTTACACCTGGTCTCGTAAAAGTACTGCTTAACCGGCGAGTTGCCCGTTTTGATCTCTCCCAGAACAGTCACCTGGTGCCCCCTGATGTCGATGGCAGAGGATTTGTCCGTCACCCACAAACTCTCGCTGTCGCAAACGGAGTATTCCCCTCGGTGGCCCCTGTGCTCCGCGTACCTCTTCCTGCGGGAGGTCCTGTTGGCAGCGGAATTCCCGATATAATCCTCCATCAGGTACAGGGGCGGCGGCTCCAGCGGCGTGTTGTCGCTCAGGAGGACCCGGGGAGAGTTGTAGCGTCTCTGCTGCCTCAAGAGATCTGTATCCACTGAGATAACCGGCTGGAAGTCCGATTTCGCGTTTTCCCCCCCGTCCGCGTCTCGCTGAGCGTCTGCTTTCTGCGCCGTGTTCTGATAGTTTTCCTTAATATCTACCATCTGCTTGGAGAGCTTGTTCTTCAAAATGTCTGCCTGGATGAGTTTGATAATGAGGGAATTTATCGAATCTTCTGGCAAACTCCTCTGATCCATGTTGGTAGACTGGATGCCACGAAGGTAAGCGAGAAATATCACATAAAAAAAGATGGACATCACCTTGTTCACCTGTAAGATCTGCAAAGAAACAGAGAAAGTCAACATAAAAACAGCTAAAGGGGGAAGTTTTTTTTAGAGGCTGTAAACATGAAAATTGGGGAATTTTCATTATAACATCTGCACTTTATAGATATGGATATATATATAGATACAGAAATACAGGCTGAGTGTTTCTTTGAAGATACTATTTGTTACACTTTATAAAGAGTGTAACTCATTTCTGAGTTTTGGTTTGGTTTGTTTTTTTTTCTCATTCCCTTTCTCTCTGTGGTACCATAATGGAAAATATTCTTATAGGAAAATCATGCAGTCAAGCAGTAAAATGGAGTTTTTTGTATTTTGAACTTCAGAAAATACTAGCTAGGCCCCCGAAATAAAAGTGGGGAATTCAGGTGGATCCATGGATCTTTTTTGTAGTGATTGTTTGCAGAGTTGAAACCCACTGTTTTGTTTTGTTTGATATGTTTTGTTTTGTTTAATGAAGTTGCTCTATTACACTTACATAAAATGGAACAAAACTGGCAGTAATTAGAAATATTCAAGGGCAGGTGGAGGACACCCCTCTCCCCAACCCCCTCAATACAGAAGAATTTTGTTCAAACACTGAAGATTTTGAAAACTGTAAGCAAAAATGTGCTGCTTCTTTGCCATCCACTGCTCTATGTAGATTCCTGTGGTGTCCTTCTAATTCTAGCTTCTGACCATAATCTAGAAGCTCCTTTGTAATTTCCTTTTAAGCCTTTGTGGGTTTTTTGTGTAGCTGAGAACCATGCACATCTTTCTAAGGAGGTGTTTTTATTTCCTGTGGACACCTGCATATTTTGTATTAGCCCCTGTGCTTAAATGAAATCAATTTTCAATGTATAATACTAATGGAAGCAAACAATTCACTTCAGAGCACTTCTGTGACTCAGAACAGTCTTGAGTTTGGTTGCCCACATCCACCACGTGTCAGAGACCACCAGCACTCTGGGATGAGGGCACAGAGTCTCAGACCATGGAATAGATGGAGCTGAAAGGATCCTCAGGACATCATCAATCCCACTGCTCAAAGCAGGGTCAGCCAGGGCAGCTCTCACAGGGCTGTGCCTAGCCAGGTTTTGAATATCTCTGTGGATGGAGACTCCACAAACCCATCTAGGCAACCTGTTCCTGGTGTTTGACCACCCTTGCACTCAAAAGAAAAGAACTGTCATGTTTCAGTAGTATTTCCTATATCTCATTTGTTCCCATTGCCCGTTGTACTTTCATGGGACACCTCCAAGAAGAGCTTGGTCCGTCTCTTTTACTGCCTCCAATCAGGCTGAGGGGAAGGATCCCCTCCCTTGGCCTGCTGGTGACACTCTGAGTACTCTCTGTTTTTCTCAGGAGAAACTGTGGAAATATCAGACATCTTGAACAGAAAATTTTTCCACTTAAAAAAAAAATAAATAAAAGAAATCATCATTTTCTTTTTAAAAGGATGAACCATTTTTCTGTATAAGAAGGCAAAGAAAAAAGAAAAAAAGGAGAAAAAATTTACTGTACAACCCCCTATCCACAATAAGTAAAACTGTCTTTTGCAAGATTGACTCCCCACTTCATAGTTTGGAACTGCAGCAAAATCAGAGCTACCCTCTGTGGATGTGTGAGCTGCCCTTTTATGGACAAGAAATGTGTTTTCTCCATTCTCAGTTTGTCACAGTATGAGTTCACCTAAATCTAGACTGTTGCTTGCAGCAATGTTTTGCTTTGGGGGGGAAAAAAAATCTAAGATGTTCAGTTACCATACAATTACTGTCATACCTAAATAAATACTAACTTAATGTAGATGGATCTCAGAGCCCAGGCCGTGCTGCATAAAAAAATTGCAGAGCAATTTAGCCTTCCCTCACAAAATTATTTGCTTTTAAAACCAGTGAAAATATTATTAAACAGATGTCATTCAGCAGATTTCTTGCAGCACTCAGGAGAGCAAACCCACATGCAGCATGACACACAAATCCATAGGATGGTGAGCAAAGCTCTGACAAGGCTGGGCTCAAAGGCTGAAAGCATTATTCATGCCAACATGCAGCTGCATGCAATCACTGCTCTGTTTAGTCTCAAAACTAAGTGGCACTAGCAAAATACACAAGTTGGAGCAGGTGATGAGGTGGGAAAAGTAAGACTGGAGTTCCTGCAGACTCTCTTTTAATGTCACGCTGCACGCAAAAAGGAAGAGCTGGAGACCTCGGAGTTGGAACGGTTCAAATAAACTGTTTTTCTTGTCCGTGGGGGAACCCCATTAGTGGGAAAAATGCCTAGAAGTATTTTGCTGAACTTCATGTCAGATGTGTTGCGGATTTGGTGGGAAAGATGTTAACCTACTCCGAAGTTGGACTTGTAGTCTGATTTACGCTTGGCAAATTATTCGCTGCAAAAGTAAAAATGTCCCAGGAAAAATAAAAAGAAACAAAACCAAAACCTTCATCCTTTTTCTGGGTGCAAAATTTTGACAGGAAACACAAACTCTTGGTGAGGTTACTCCAAGAAGGTTCATCAGTGGTGTTCAGAAATTCCAGGACAAGAAGCTGTCAGTCTGCCCGCAAAGTCCAGCACCTCGGAACACAGGACCCTGTTCTAGATGGGAAAAATGGACATTACTGGGAAACTGCAGCTGTTTTACAGCCTTGGCTCTAATGTGGTCAGAAGACACCTTAGAAGTATATTGGCTTGCAGGTCTGGGAAGAATTGCTTTTGATAAATGGCCCTTTGCCCAAAATGGAACTTTGTGCCTGTCTGAATTTGACTTTTATTTTATTTTATTTTATTTTAATTATTTTTTTTTTGGTATGTGTGTTGTTTAATCCACAAAAAGCAGCGGAAAACGTTTCAAAATGTTTATGCTTTCGTATTTTCAAAGCAAATCATTCTGATGTTTCTGGACGTGCTTCAGATGTTACACAACGCAATTCACAAAGCAGAGCAAGTGCTTACTCAGAGTAGCCTGGTGAGTAAGTTATCTATGGGGGAGACTTGGATTAGAGGGAAGATTTCAACACAGGCATCCTTTCTGACTTAACTTCCAGGCTCCTGGGGCACACACAGGCTTATATGGATCTCAGGAGAAGTTCTTTCTTTGGCCTTTTGAAGGGTGGTATAAAAATCCCCCATGTATTTAGCCCTTCACAGGAACTACTTCTGTTCTTTCATTCATTTTTTTCTTAAATCCAAACTATCCATTTCAGGTAGAAAGACAGATTTCATTCAAGCCAAACTTTTCTTAGTCAGCTGGTATCAGACAGTATCCAAAGTTTTACTGAAATCTGAAAATATCACATTAACTGGCTTCCCTTGATCAGCCAGGTGGGTCACCTTGTCCTAAAAGGAAATCAGGTTTGGTCAGCAGAACTTTACCCTTGTGAAGCTGTGCTGGCTGTGACCAATGACTGCATCATCTTTCAGGTGTTTTGTCAATACTTCCCAGGGCAATCCTCTCCACAACTTCACCAGGCACTGAAGTGAGACTGAGAGCCTGTAGTTTACAGGGTCCTGATTATTGCCATTTTTGAAAATCAGGGCAATGTTTGCCAGCTTCCAGTCAGCTGGGACCTCTCTGGATTCCCAAGGCTGATCAAAAAATCATCGAGAGAGGTTTTGCAACAACATCAGCAGCTCTTTCAGGATTCTTGGATAAATCCCACCAGGCCCCATAGATTTTTAGGGATCCAGCTGGAGCAGCAGATCCCACACAGTTTCAGGGTGGACTGGGAGTTGATCATTCTGGCAGTCGTGGTCCTCCAGCTCAGGGCACTGAGACACCCTTGGTCTGTCATCCGTGTTGAAGACAGAGGCAAAAAAATCATTAAATCCCTCTGCCTTGTCTGTGAGGTGTCTCTGCCCTGTTTGTGAGGTGACCATGTCTGAAAAGTGACCAGTGCTGATGGACTCCAGCACGTGCAAAAACCTTTTCCCAGAGGACATTACTTACTAAATTCCTAAACAGCCTGAAGTCTGCTACTGGCATGATTTGTGTAAGTCAGCTTGAAGCATTTGCCACTTCCTAAAAAAATTTAAGACCAGCTTCTGTTCTTCAGACCAAGCAACCAATGATCATGTGTGGTGGCTGACAGTTTTTTCAGGCTTTTACCAACATGTAATTAATTTAATTACACGTCTGTAATTAAACTGATTGCTTGCTAAGCACTGCTTTCCTAAACTCTCAAGTAGTGGAATGACCTGTTGATTCCCTCTTCCTAATAACCTTGATGAGAAGAAATGCAGCCCTTCTCCTTTGTGGAAAAGGTACAGAACAAGAAACATATCACTGCATTCTCAGGGTTCAAAAAGATGGGAACATGAAATAATTGCATATGAAAATTTGCACTGTATTTCAGAATAGTAATCGACTATTTGCACAACATGTGCCTGCAGAAGGATTTACTGAGGTAGATTGCTGCAGAGTGCTGAATGTCCCTAAAGACAGTGTGACCCTCCTGAACATTTCCACTTCTCAGGATACGGAAATTTCAGCACATACGGATTGAAGCTGAAGCTTTCACAAGAGCCAGACAGACCCTCTAAGAAGCCAAAGAATTCACAGACAAAATCAAGGGGGACTGAGTTACGGCAGCCCTGAGTGTTAACCCTCCCATCCTGAGTGCCAACCAAACTGTAGTTAGAGTGAGGGAATTTGAAACTAAAGCATTCCTCTTGCATGCTCCAACTGGGGGAGCCCACCAAAGTTCCTTAATTTCTGCAGCAGGTCACCTGCCTTTAATCATGCTTTACTCAAAGCCATTTTCAAAAAAAGACACATCTGAGCACTAAGCCCAAACAGTCCCCAGTGACTGGTAAATACCTAATCTCTCGTGGAGATGGAGCTCAGCCTTCTGAGTCACTGACATTTCCTTTTCCTCTTTAAACGACCGGCGGAGCAAAACACAGCAGGACAGCTGTTCACTCCAGCATGACAAACTCATCTGCACTTTGAACCAATGCACAATGCTATCTATGATTATCATTATGACCACGACCCTGCTAGTCAACGAGGAAAG